CACAAACCCAGTATCTAAAAAAGGTGTTAGACAGATTTGGCATAAATGGGAAAACCAAAGCTGTGAGTACACCATTGGCCCCTCATTTCAAGCTTAGTGCTTTGATGTCTCCGTACACAGAAGAAGAACGAAAGCATATGGCACATGTTCCATATGCAAATGCAGTTGGTGCATTAATGTATGCTATGGTTTGTACAAGGCCTGACATCTCACGTGCTGTGAGTATGGTAAGCAGGTATATGCATGATCCAGGAAAAGACCACTGGCAAACAGTGAAATGGATCCTAAGGTACATACATGGCACAGTCAATCTGGGATTGAAGTTCGAGAAAGATAACTGACTTGGATAGAATCTGGTTGGATATGTGGACTCAGATTATGCTGGTGACTTGGATGTATTTATGCTTGCTAAAGAGTCGGTGAGTTGGAGGTCAACGCTTCAGTCAACGGTGGCTTTGTCTACTACAGAGACAGAGTACATGGCAGTGACAGAAGCCTTTAAGGAAGTTATTGGGCTACACGGGTTGATTGAGGACTTGGGTATTGTTCAGAAGCACGTTGAGGTGTACTGTGACAGTTAGAGTGCCATTTGTTTGGCAAAGAACCAGGTTCATCATTCCCGCACCAAGCACATTGATGTCCATTTCCATTTTATCAGAGAAATTGTGAATGAAGGGGATATTCTGCTTCAAAAGATTAGTACTGCAGATAATCCGGCCGATATGCTCACAAAAGTGGTTTCTGGGATCAAGTTCCAACATTGTTTGGACTTGGTCAACATCTCTCGGAACTAAGCACCTTCAGGTGCAAGGCAGTGTTGATCAATCACTATGGACAAAGAGCAAAGGCATGATAGTCAAGGGCATCCTAGCAGGGGGTGCAGGACATCCAATCAGGGGGTGTAGAATATCTTGGTTACGCAAGTTCAAGCATAGCAGGTGAAGACATCCGAGACAGTAAGCGTGGAAGAGATCTGTGGGAGATAGGAGCAGAGGCTCTCTCCAAATCAGAGAGTGGTGTGAGTTGAGTTGAGGATGTAGGATGTAGGATTCTCTCCTCCTCTTGTATCTCTGGTGTATTATCTCTAGCTTCAGGAGATGCGGACTATGCTGAATTTTGGGCGTGACAAGATTAACAGCAGTGTGTGCAATAGATCACCTCACATGGGTTGAGGAGGTGATTTGTTGATATCACCCCATGTGAAAGGGGTGATTCTCATCAGTATGAAAGCATCACACCAACGTTCCTTGATTGCGGCTGCCAACCGACAAGTCGCAAAGGAAGACTATCCACCTTTGACTAACCAGCTGGCCATGTGCAAGGCCAGCCAACTCTCTCCCATTTGTGTGTATATATAGAGAGGGTGAGAGCAGAATATAGATATGGTGAGTGGTGAGTTGTGAAGAAGAGAGAATACAGAGAGTGTGTAATACTTTTCTCAATATAGTGAATTTACTGCCCGTGGACGTAGGCGATTTGCCAAACTATGTTAAATCTCTTGTGTTATTACTTGTGTGTGTTTCCTGGTGTGCCCCTATGAAAGAATGGAAACCAAGATGGTTTTACACAAAAATCAAATGTACCCGGGAAGAGGGGATTGAAAATTACAAAACATAGAGAAGGAATAGTGAAGAGGGTACCTTAGAATTTCTTGTTTTTGTCTTGATTTGAGCTCAGAAGGTTACCTTTTTGGATAAAATTAGTGTCTAAATTTTGGGTTTTGTTTGAGCTACAGAGATTGATGGGGAGAGAGGGAGGGAGGGAGAGAGAGAGAGAGAGAGAGAGAGAGAGAGGGCGTTGCATACAGGTCGGAGTTTTTTTCAAAGGGAGGGACATTGCTTAGAATAAAGCGACATCAACCAAGGAGAGAGGGTCCTAATTGTAACTAATTTATGAATTCTCTAACTTTTTCCAAATCAACTTTCTTCTTTTTAAATAGGGTAAATTACAAATACACCCCTTAAGGTTTGTATAAAATATGAATTGTTCCCTATGGTTTGGAAAATACTTCCCTGTCATAATTTTTTATTTAATAGAATTAATTAAAAAAGTGAAATTTCTAACTGTTCACCTATACAATAATAAAATTATCTGAATTATTAATTGAAATAAAATTTTAAAATTATGAAAAACTGTTAATTAACTCGATAATTTATTAATAAAAGGACCTATGTGTTATGAAATTAGAAACCTTGGGGGCATAACGTAATTTTTAGAAGTACAGGGTTATTTGTAATTTAACTAAATCTCAGGAAGTGTGTTTGTAGTTTATCCTTTTAAATATATAAATAAATACATATATATTAATTTTCCCTTAAAAAAAAAAGGAAATTACCGAACATGATACTATCAGAAAATTATGAGAGATTTATGAAAAAATGTATGATTTTAATTATTAATGTATACAAAGTTTACCACTTATCTATAATTTTTTTTAAGAAAATTAAAAATTCCTATAAAAAATATTAAAAATAAATTATATTTTGAACCCAGTAAATTGATGTAGAATTTAATTTTGTACTTATTAATTCTATTTAAACAATATTCTCTCTTTTTTTCCATAATGAGCTCAAATTCTAATTATATAAATACAAAAATAATTTAGAATAAAAGACAAAGAAAGTATAAATAGATAATCCGATCTCAATGCATCTCTTATCAAGTAAATAAATAAATTATTCTCCTTCCTGAAGTGCCTGTTTTTAAAAAAAAAAATACACATCAATAGTAAACTTCATCAATTTTAAGAATTAAAGTTAAAAAAAATTTCATAAATTTATAAATATTTTGTAAAGCTACTACTAATTTACAATTTTTCTTATATTTTGACAAGACATCCAAGAGACTTAAAAAGAAAAGAAAGAAACAAAAAAATCTATTTATTTTAGTATTTATGGTCGTGCAGACCACTTCATTGTCACCCGCCACTTTTAGCAAACAATTTCCACAATTTTGTAAGTAAAACTTATTTATATCTATTTAACATATTTCGATGACAAAATCAGCTTTCTCATCTCACATAAGCTATGGTGGAGCTAGAAAAATAATTTAGAGAGGTATTTATTAATTAAAATTTTATTTTTTTTTATAATCAATAACAGTAGATAATAATTTTTTTAATTAATATTAAGTATAAAATATTAAATATTTAATATAAAAGTTTTAAAATTTTTGTTTTTACAATTGACCTTGTAAAAAATTAGAAGTGAAAATATAGTGTTACTTATAACTAGTATATTATAAGCAATGTAAAAAAATTATGTATATCTTATGATAGATTATATAATAATATATAAATAATAGTAATTCCATATCAATCATTGATATACGGTATCACTAACCAATAGTAAAATGGCGCATGAAAGGCTAATTTCACTTGTCAAATATAATTAAACAATTTAATAATTTCATATTTTCGGAGTGGGGTTAATTATGTTTACATGTAAGTGATAATTTTGTATCACTGTTACATTGAAATTTTTTTTATAAAATTTTCCTACATAATAATGTGGCTTGTTTTGGTTTTTTTTTTTTTTTTTAATCAAAACTACGACTATCGTTATTTTGTAATTTGAAAAATGTATAAATTTCCTATTTATTAATTATTTTCCTTATATGCAAAAAATAAAATAAAATAAAATAAAAAATAAGGGGGACACATGCCTCCTGGTCCCTTAATTGTTCCGTCACTGTACATAATAAGAGTATTGCATTCAATTATATATGTAATTAAATTATATATGCACTTAATTTTTATTTTTTTTGGTTACTACGATTGAATTCATTCAAATATAGTGATTATTTTCACAACATAATAAGTGGAAAAAAGGAAAAAAAAAAAAAACATTTGTGAGTAATATTTGCAAAAGTTTAAAACACAAGTACACATAATATATAAACATATAATTCTTCATATCTAGTTTACGAATACATCAAAGTAAGGTTGCACATACACTCTTAACTCACAACTAATCTTAATATTTGCAAAACAATAGAACAACTGAATGGAAAGTATAAAGTGCGATGATGTAATTTTTTTTATTTAGTTTATTAATACATCAAAAGAAAGCAGGCACATAAACTCTTAGCTCACAACTAATATCGATCAAGCCCAATCATATTGTTTGAACCAAGTTGCATTACAATTAGCCATATAGAATCCCTCTGGTCTCACTATCCAATAACAAGTATATGTTCCAATAGGACTTTTGCAATAATTGGCTGTTGTATAGTAATAAAACACATCGAAACTCAATTGCTTAGAACCCCACCAGAAATGACAGAAGAAGCGAGTAGTATAGAAAATATTGATTCTAAAACTCCAATGAAAATTTTCACCAAAGGTGAGGACATGAGTTCCAATATCATCATAGATTGACAATGGACTGTCAAGGGTTTAGGATTGTTTGGAACTGAGCAAACTATAAAACAATATATTCAGTAACAGAACTTTCGACATACAACGTTGTAGAAACAAAATGTAATGCAAGGATGAGTGAGGAGAGAAAAAAATAATTCGTTGCATATGGCATGAAAGTGAAGTTGTTTCCTTATTTGTTTGTTACTCGCATGTATGAGCTAGAGAAAGTTTGATTTATGTAGTGAAACAATCAATGGATCAAATGGTTAGTGAAAGTAGATTTTGTGTATTAAAGTGAAGATAGATTTTGTATATGAAGGCAGATTTTGGCAAGCCAAGTAGATTATGTGTAAAATAAATATTTGAGAAAAACTAATTTTGAACTAGTAATTGTAATTGTCAAACCAAGTTTGAGAAACTGCTTGCAAAGAGGTCATTTTGTGCACACTAATAGCGTAAGATCAATTGGACCTACCTGTTTTCTAATCCATTGATGCTGTGAACCTCATCTTGCTAACATGTCTCCATTTTATTAATTACTAGTTGGCCATCACTATTACATCATAAACTAAAACAAAACGTAAATACAAAAGTGGTTTCTTAAACATTAGGTAGAGGAAAGATGACAACAACGCATCAATAATTAAAACTATTTAAATTGATTGAAATGGTAGGAAGAAGCATGTGACCGAGCAGAAATTTTCAACAGAATTCATGTGTTACCCCCAAAAAATCAAAGAACTATTCCATGTGAAATACTGTCAAAAATATACTGTCAAAAGTGTAACTACCACATAAATGACACTAGAATGCAAATTTTCTGCATTTGTAAATAGCTTATGGAGGATAATTCCATGTGCACCTCTATAGTAAGAGCTTATCAATGTTCCAAACCTCTCTTGTTCAGCTGCAAACCAAAAAATTTAATAGCCTCATATCTGAATATTGAATAATATATGTTTGAATAAAATAGGTTCAATAAAGCTTGTCCAGGAAAAAAAAAATACTTTTCTAAATTGTTGTTTTTGTTTGTGTTTCTGTTTTGAAGGATAGATACATGTCAATATCTAATTTAAGGGCTCTCCTTCCACAACTCCGAAACCAGTCAAACTTGCACAAACACTTCAACAGCTATTTTTATCTCAACTTTTCATAAAGGTAGCTGTAGGGTTTTGGTATTGGAAAGTAGCTATTTTAGCAATTGCTTTAGGCGTTTCACGTGTAAAAAATTGCTTAAAAAATCGTTTATGGACCATTAGATTACCTAACCACATTTTTTTTATCATATTGCTCAAGGACAATTTGTAAAATTCAAAAATTCGTTGAAGTATTGTGTAAGAAAGTTGAAAAACCACCATTTATAGGCTTTTTTCGTTTCAAGCCCAAAAATAGCTTAAAAGGCTTAACAAGCCAGGTTACTGTGAAAATGAAAACTTGTACCAAAAAATAAACATTCCTGCCTTGAGTTGGAGGTTTATAACAAAAACATCCAAGAAAAAACTAAAAAATTTGTTGCATGTATGAGGAGGAAATACTATTGGGATCCAAGAAATTTTTCACATTGCATAAACAAAATAGTTCCAAAGAACAAGTCATCTATGTTAATTACCTGTGTCCCAAATCGTAAGTTTTAGTCTTTTTCCACCAACTATTAACAGCTTGATCTTGAAATCCATATGTGGAAATGGTCATAGCTAGGACATTAAGCTCAATATTTAATGAATTCAAATAAAAAATGAGTAAAGCCCATCAAAAGAAAAATGAAGTGCACATTGATTTTTCAGTTTATATCATTTCCATTCTTCACATGAAAACTATATTAGCTAAACAAGCAAAAAGTAACTACATTTCTAAGCCAAATTGTTGCGTGGAAGTTCAAAAAACACAAGTGGATAAAAAAATTGTGAGGCATAGAGGATGTTCACTGCTACTAATCCCATAAAAGGTAACATCTAGAGAATGCCAAGTATATCAAGGGTGTATTGCATATTCTATATCAGGAAAGTTCCCATTAAGATAGCAAAGCCTTCCTACACAATTAGAAAGCATATTGGTACTGATTCCAATGCTAAAGCCCCCTGAAATCTACTGTCCTGGTTAATTCTACAAATTAGCGAAATGCAACTTTGAGTGTACATGAGCTTTGCATTGCTAATGCTGAGCATCTAGATCATCCAAACCAAATCATCAAAATGGAATTTACAAATTGTAATAACATACTAAGTCGTATGAAGTCTCTACATAATATATGCCCCAGCAATCATGTCAAGCAATAGAAATATGACATATATTATTCTTTCCTTTCAATTCTTTTCGGTTCTTTTCTTTTCTTTTCTTTTTAGGGGTTGCTCTTAACAACAATATTAATTCCATCTATTCCCCCTAATCACCCATTCAAATATTTTGATAGTTTGAGTTAAGTGAATATGTATCATTTTCAG